CACTGTTAGTCTGTTCTGGGGGATTTAAGAAATCCAGTAGATGTTCATATGATTCTTGCAATGTGAGATGAAGTAATAGAAAAGCAGGTGGTTGTGATGTCATATGAAATTCTTCTTAAAAAAAAAAAAACGGTATTATGTTTTCATTAGTTCTCCCCTAGTGAAGTTAGCTGTGAAACTAGTTAGCCAGGGCAGAACCTGCACAAGGCTTCTTGTGGGCAAGCAATTTGTTTAATAGTTTCCTTGGACTGTTGCACACACGGACCTCCTGTGGATCATTGCTACCACACCAGGGTGACCTCCTACAACCCTCTACTTGCTAAGGGTTTCTCCTCCTAATACCTCGGGCCTGCTAAGCCCCAAATGTGGGTTACAAATAAAATAATGCAGGAAGCTTTAAATCTCAGTTACATTAGTTTGATTCAGGATTTGTGATGTTAACATAAATGAGAGAGTTGTGTGTTGTGGTTGGAACAGCGGCAAGCTTAGGTGTGTAAGAAGGGACACCAGAGCAGTTGGTTTGTGTTCTTTCTCCTCTCCAGCGGAACTACTTCAGGCAAAACATCTAAGAATTTCTCTCTTACTCTTTTTTCTCTGTTAGACTTTCCTGTAGAATTGACGTTTTTCTGACCTGGTGTGAGAGAGGTGGCTGCAACAGCTTTCTGCTATTATCTGTTCCTAGTTGTCAGAGGTGGTATATAGATACATATTTGCATTATTTAAAAGCATGATTCTACTTTAAGAATCAGTGTGGGGATCGTGTTTATTGTCTTGGGGCCCCAGATTAAAAAAGTTTTTACAAGGCTGTTTTTCCTAGCTGTCAGCCCTGCAAACTCAACTTGGGGATCTAAGCGTTGAGCGAGGTTCTTTCCTCCTCCTTTATCAATGCCAATAATAAAGGTTCCGTAGGTCATGTCGTATGTCTTCAGTGACATCTGTGCAAACCCACTATATTCTGTGGGGGCTATACAGGTTTAAGTGATTGGTCCTGTAATTGGAATATAGAAAACAATTCTGTTGATGTTTCAGAAAGGATAGAATCTAGTTCACTATTTATCTGGGCTCTATTCATTCCTGTATGTTAACAGGAGTAAAAAGCAATCAAAACTCTGACAGTAAAATCAGCTGTCTAGTTCTTATAGATGCAAGGAACAGATAGAGTAAATGTACCATTTCACATACAGTAGTTGCATTTCAGAATAGAACTGCGCTTCTGAGCTTTTCTCTCTTCTTGGAGGCTTTCCCCTTCCACCTGTTAACTAACGTGTGAATGAAAAGTTATGCCTGGATTTTTAATACATTCCCTTCTGGGGTGTATTTATGTGCTGGGTAAAGCTCTGTCCAAAAGCCTGCTGCAGTATGGGAGAGCAGAAGAAACTTCAGAATCCTAATAATGCCTCTGATTATCACTAGTTAGTTACACTGCTTGGATCTCTTCTGACTTCTCCATCTATCTTCTGGTAAAGATTGCAAGCAAGTGCTAAAGCTGGAAACATAGCAAGGACTGATTAAAGGTGGCCCATCCTTGTATGTCAATAAGACTGTCCGTACGTACACAAAATAAACTATAGTGCCTAATGCCCTGCTGTGAACAGATGAGCGACCTAGTTTCGTGATGACGCTGCTACAACTAACAAACAAATGCGTTCTATAGCGCTGTGAGAATTCTGGATGAACCACTGAAGCTTTCCATAACTTTCACTGTCCGTACAGGTTTGTTCTGGTAGGGAAGGGTTTAATAAGGCTTTTATTGGTACCTGGAAACATAAGCTGCTGTATACTTCTCATTTGGTGACTGAAGTTGAACATTTGCATTGCTTGGAGAGAGGAAACCACTACTCAGGATCCTTCCTCTCCTTTGTAATTGTTGGGAATGGTGGGGTTACAGCAGCTATCTTTCAGTTATAGTAAATGCATTGGCTAGTCATGTATTATAAGTGCCTCAGGATTTCCATGAGGAAAAAATGCCTAACTTGAAGCAGTCTGTAGCCCTTCTTCTCAATGTTTTTAATGTTTGAAACTGAAATTGAATCTTCTTATTCTCAGCCGTATGTGTATCTTCTGTGGCAATATGTATGGCTCCTCTTTTTTTAATGCAAATTAAAATATTTTGAACTGAAAACTGATTAAGGTTTTAGTCAAATATTGGCCTCTTTGTATCCTCTAATCCTCTTTAATGTTTCTACCTAGGTGGATCCTTGTTTCTTACTGTGGTAAGTAGCAACAAAGTAGATTCACACTGAATGTCTTTCATGCAAAGCAGAGTCGTTTTTATTGTAAGTTTTCAAAGGTTGAGGAAGCGTCTCCCTCCATCCCAGGGAAAAACAGGCTTTATTGCTTTTTTCATGTTTTCTCATCTTGGGTGCTGAAAATAGCAGCATTAATTGCGCTTTTTGATTCTAGTGAACTTTCATGTTCAAGTTCTTACAAACTAAGGGAATCTGTGGAGTCCTCTATGTTTACAGTGCGGTTGGAAATTATTGGCTTTTAAGAAAGGTACTTCATATGAAACCTAAATTATATGCAAACGTATGTTGACTGTCTGAAGTGATCGCCATAGCTCTTAATTGTTTGGAACACGAGTGAGTGGTGTTACAGAGTGGGATGATAGAGGGGTTAGTTTATATGGATTTCTGCCGTAGCCCTATCCTGGGAAGGCATATGGAAGGTGGGCTAAACAAAAAACTGGCTTGACAGTAATGCAGTCTGCAGCACAGTAGGGCACTTCAGCATTTTATGACCAACCTGCTGCGTATATTCTGGAAACTGAGTCTACCTATTAACTTAGTATTTCAGGCTTGCAAGATATTCAGCTTCTGCCTTGATTTATAGAGCTTTGATAACAGAGTCTGTTAGCTAAGAACTATGTGGGGAATGACAGGAGAGGTGTGAGCATTTCATCTTACGTTATTGCCAAGTCTGATAATATATAAGAGAGAGAGAGAGAGAGAGTTTTGTTCACGTTTGGATTAGAAGTGGGGACTTTTAAGAAAAGGTTTCCAGAGGAGGCGGTCAGACTTTCATGCAAGGCAGGACCTAGAAGCATGGACACAGGGCAACCTTAAGGAGAGGACATCAGTAATCATGGAAATGAAGGTAATGGGAGACCTCTGTCGCTCAAGTTAAAGTACTTTATTTTAGGAGGAAGGTCAGGGAAACGGGGAAGTTACACAGCTGTTAGGGGGTAGTTAATTAACCATTGGATCAGCGCATGTCATAGAAACTGAACAGTAAATAGGTCAGGCCTCTTGTTCAAAAGTGCCTTGAATGATTTCCAGATGCCTTCTCCATTTTTAAGTGAGTATTGCTGTGGGAGTCAGCTTAGTTTTAAAGATACTAACAATTGAGTAAATCCTGCCAACTGCTTGAAGAGGGGTGGCAAACTGCAGCCAGGCAGAGAGCAAGCGTCTCAGATCCGACTTGATGTCTGTCTAAAAGAAATTAGCTTGTTGCCCGGTGCATAACTTTCTTCAATAACAAGGGGGAGAGATTCAGCTTTATGAGTTGACCTCTAACCCTTCCAATATAGGTGCTATTATTAAGGCCTGGGGGAACAATAAATATATGCTAAACAAATCAGCATCTATGGTAAAGTTCAGGTGGAAAGTCCATTTTACTCATAGAATAGAAAGCAGAAAATGTATCTAAAATATTATTTTGTGAAGTGACTTTCTACTATGCTGCAGAACTAAAGTAGATAAAATTTCATGTGTAATCCAGAGTTATAGAAATTCCCCCTCCTGAAAAGTGCTCTGTGAACTACTCCATTGCCAAAGTTCTCTATCCCAATACAGTTCTATAAAAACACACTTTTAAAGTTACAGCTTTTAGCATTGATTGGAAAATGTGAATTCCCTGAAGATGTTTCATTGTTAGGGCCTAGTCACTTCCAGACGGATGACAGAAAGCAAAGACTCTTCTAAAGTAGTCACATGTAATTTTAAAACAAACCTGCAGCCAGACCGTGCAAGGCATAAAGCATAAAGAGAAGTTAGACATTCACCTCTTTCCTTGCTGAAGTGGTGTCTCTCTCTAAACAAGGGTGCTAAACCTGAAATATTAGGCAATCACTCTGAGCCACAGATGAAAGATAAATTGAAGTAAACTGACTTTTTAGCCTTGCATCTATAAACAAAGAGGTAATGTGTAGCTTTCCCTGTTACTTTAAGGAGTGCCAGCGGGCCCTGATCAGGATCATCTCATTGTGACATGTGAGTACAGCACCTGAAACATTAGTCCCTGCTCCAAGGAGTAACGATCAGTCTGACCCTTTTATAGACCCTCCAACTATAGTGCCATGGGAGCAATAAGCTGCCCTCATGCTCAGGGCCACAGTTCCATTACAATGGGAAGTTCAGCCTGTTTGTAGCATCGAGGCAGAACTAGACCTATCAGCCTCTAGCGCAGGGGTGGGCAAACTATGGCCCACCGGGCTGTGTCCAGCCTGTCAGACGTTTTAATCTGGCCCTTGAGCTGCAACTGGGTACCGGGGTCAGGGGCTTGCCCCGCTCCATGCATGATGTGGCTCCGCACGGCTCCTGGAAGCAGCAGCATGTCCCCATTCTGGCTCCTATGTGTAGGGGCAGCCAGGGGGCTCCACACACTGCCCCTATCCCAAGTGCCGCCCCCGCAGCTCCCATTGGCCAGGAACCACAGCCAAGGGAAGCTGTAGGAGCCGGGAAGGGAGACATGCTGCTGCTTCCTGAAGCTGCTTGAGGTAAGCACTGTTCAGAGCCTGCCCCCTTGACCTCCTCCTGCGCTCCAACCCCCTGCCCCAGCCCTGATCCCCCTCCAAACCCCTCAATCCCAGCCCGGAGCACCTCCTTCACCCTAAACCCCTCATCCCCAGCCAGAGCCCTCACCCACTCCCGCACCCCAACCCCAATTTCACAAGTATTCATGGCCTACTAGTCAAAAAGTTTGCCCACTCCTGCTCTAGCAGCATGGGAAGCCACCGCCTCCTGAAGTTCTACCTGCCCCCACAGCAGCAGCCAGTGCAGCTGGGCTTCTTTGCTGTGGCACCGTGAGGAAAAGTTCCAAACACATCAGCTCAACGTGTCCCAACAACGAGTGCGCTTGCAGGCTTCGGCAGCCAAGCAGCTGTTTCTCTGCTTCACCTCCTCTTATCGTGTGTCTTGATAGGAAGCTCAGCTTTAGGGCAGGCTGCTGTTTCCCCCTCATCCCCTTTTCCAGAAAAGTGGCAGACGGGATTGGAAAAGCTGCCTTGAGGCAATGACAGCTTCCTGTATCTCAAGTCAGTGAGGGGCGGGAGCAACATCAGAAGGGCAGCTCGCAGTGTCATTTATTATCCCTTTTCTGACCCTCGGCATAGTTCAATGGCAAAGATGAGCTCATCTCCCCACCATGCTTCATCAGTGGTGGAGCGAGGATCACCAAGTGCTGTTGTATAACAAAGTTGGTGGTTGCCAGGCCAGCAACTACCATTTAAAAGGAAGCAGTGGGGTACAAGACCCTTGATTTGTCCCGAAGCATTCTCTTTCCCTCTTAACCTTCTAGTTGCCACACTAGTCCAAAGACACTGACTGTCTCCGAGTAGAATTAACAAAATGGTGGCTAACTTTCAGATTCAGAATTCTGGCTTAACCTGCACCTGTGGGGAAAAACTGGCTACCTCAAAATGGACAAGTCACTACAGCTGGCACTTACTTCCTTTGCAACCAGCCCCGTATTCAGGAACGGGCAAGCTGGTATTAACATACTAGCTGAAAAGTCCTGCAAGACAGTCACTGTATTCTTAGTTAAGCCACTAACCTGCATTTGAGTGGCTCTGAATGAAAATATACATATCAGTTTTAAGTATCTGACAACCCAAGTCCCTTCAGTAATGCCTGTTTCCATGCCTTAGAACCCAATGCACTGTATCAATTATGCTGATCTGTTTTCTTACAATATTTTTTAAATTCCAGTGGACGTGTTGTGGTAGCTCCAGTCCCTTGGATAAATATGTGATTTGGTAAAGTGTACAACTAAGAGGTTTTGGCTCTAAAGTGTGTGTTTAAAAATGAAGAAAGGGAGGACCTACTACTCTACGGGCGGGGGGGGGAGGGGAAGCAGGTGAACACTGTTGGAAGAAAACTTGGAGGCTGACTTTCTGATGTAGATAGCAAGAAAAGGACAAACACTTTTTCTTTAAGTCAAATGGAGGGAAAAATCTTCAATGAGACACTATGCTATTCCAGTTTACAGGTATAATTTAGAATCATAACCACAAATAATATGCTATTGAAAAAAATGAGGCAAAATAGTGCATATGGGTACATGCTGCATCTTTTTAGATAAGACCATTAACTCAATAGCTCATTTCATAGGCACATTGAGTCATTTAAACTCCAGCATGGCAAGGGTGGAGCATTAACTATCAGGCCTATAATCCATAGTTACTACTCTAGAACTCAAGCTAGAAGAAAATTCCATCACAGAAATAAACACAAGCCTTGGTAAGGAAGCTGAGAGCATGAATTTTAAAAGTGTGGTCACAATGACCAGCAAGAGATGAAAGCAGCATGTGCCAATCATACCAGTCTCAATGTGCCATATGCAAGCAAGAGACTGTAGATGGAAATCATGGAGCAGCAGCAGCCTTATACTAGAGCTCCTTACTCAATATCATTTGTACCTTATCTGCAGAGAACTTTCACGCAGCAGCAAAAAAATATATTACAGCTGTTTTTGTGTCTACCATGCAAGAGAGATGGTGTTTCCTCTAGCATAGCTTTAGAAAAGAAGGGTTCCTGGCTCAGCTGAAGCTGCTGCAGCAGAAGCCCAATTCCCAAAGAGAGCCAGTGTGGCTTTCCCTCCCTCCCCTACATGTCAACTAGCAACAGGTGTTATTTTTTTAAAGGGCAATCTGAGGTTAAGTTTAAAAAAGCCCAGTGAGCTTTTGATAAAAGTACTCATGAGCGCTCAGCTGGCTGGAACTTGAGGAAATTTAATTTCACAGTGGAGGAAATAATATTTTTGGCAAAATGAATAAACTTCACCAACCTCCTTCTTTCCTCTTGTTCATGATCTCAGTGCGCAGTGGAAACAAAAGTAGGGCCCTATGTTTAAAGAAAATAATATACATCTCCCCCCAAAACTTGGAAGGCTGCCTCTTTATCACCCCACTCTCCAACTGAGACCTACCTTCTTCAGTGGGTAGAACTTCCTCTAGTGATCTGTAATGTCATCGGCGCTGCTAGTCTGCCTAGGAAGGGACAAGTGCCCACATCCTCAAAGGTGTTTAGGCTCTTTGACTTCCATTGAAATCAGTGGAATATCTTTGAGGATCTGGGCCACAGTTCCTTGAGGCTTAAGACAGCAGTAGAAGCGGGTGGGAATTCTAATCCTGCTGCAGTTGTCATGGTCAGTGTCCCAGTTTGAAGGATGCTCCATGACACTCCACTATTCCCCAACGACCCAGGGGCCTGCAACAGGGACACACACAAAAACTTGGGCCTATGACAACTTTCTTCCTTTTTCTCAATTTCCCCCCCAGGCTTGGGCATGGAGTAAACTTTCTGCCTCTATCTAGGTATCATGCGCCCCCGAAAACTGCAGCGGAAGAGACAGTTTTCTCCATATGCGCAAATATGGAAGAATTCCAAACATGGACAAATTGGTTTTAGCTACTGCAGATGCGGTGGGCAAACAGTCCTGAAGAATCAAGTAAGTGCTGCCTTTGCTTGTGCTGTGAAGACATGCAGGCAGCATCTGGGCCTAGCATTCACCCATGTTCTTTCCCTATGTGGGTTGAGTGAGGCACAAGTTTGTGAAGTGACTTGTTGCAGGGTCACCTAAGGAGTTAGTGTAGCTATTGGAACTGATTTTCCTGGCTCCCAATCCTTGGCTTCAATCACTAGCTCATAGAATCATAGAATATCAGGGTTGGAAGGGACCTCAGGAGGTCATCTAGTCCAACCCCCAGCTCAAAGCAGGACCAATCCCCAAACAGATTTTTACCCCAGTTCCCTAAATGGCCCCCTCAAGGATTGAACTCCCAACCCTGGGTTTAGCAGGCCAATGCTCAAGCCACTGAGCTATCCCTCCCCCACATGCATGTTACTGAATAGTATTTAAAGAACCTTGGAATATACAAGTTTGAAGTGTTTAGGAGGACTCACGGAATTTTAGGGTTGACCTGAAGATAGTGGCACAGCAGGAATTTTCCCAGCATGGCATGACACTTTTCCTTTCTATGCATTTCAGTTGGCACTACTCTTGGTCAGCTCATTGGGTCAAAGGAAATGAAGGAGGCTGCAAAATGTAATAGCAGTCTACAACATTCTTTGGTCTGGTCCTGCTTATAGGAACTTAAGTGCTGTACAGACATTTACCATTATTTTTAAATCCACTGTAACAAAAGTTAGATAATAATACTAGCAAATTTCATCCAAATGTCTCAAAGAGCTTTACAAAAGATGAGTAAGCATTATCTTCATTTGACAGAAACAGTGAGGTTAGGCTGTCTGCTCAAGATCAGTCAATAGCAGAGTTCAGAGTAGGACCCAGGTGTCCTGATTCCTAGTCCTTGCTGTTACCACTACATATGTTGCCCTTCAGAGTTTATTGTGACAAAGGGCTGTTGTTAAAAGGTGTTAGCTAACAAGCTATCATTCAACATATTATAGAAATCTACTGAAGGTGAGGAAGTGCAGACTGGTAAGATTGTCACATTGGAGCCTGGACAAACTCCCATGTAGATGTGAAATGAAGTGGGCCCTGCTATGACCACTAAGGCTGATGAAAAGTGGGAGGCTTTTTCAGATACTATTCACAGTAATGTGCTTGGGTAAAACTTAGGTAAAACTTTCCAAAGTACTTAAGGAGCCTGAGTCTCACTGAAAGTCAGCAGGATTTTGGCCCACACATTTAAAGTCCCATTGACTTTCAATGAGATTTAGGCTCTCAAATCACTTAAGTACTTTTGAAAATGTTACCCCCAATCTATCAGTGAGCCACTGAGCAATGGATCACCTCCTTGGAGGCTTTCAGAATGGGGTTTTTGCTCTATCGAGGTATTATCTTAACATAGACTCCGTTTTTTGGTGCTAATGACGATACAGATGTCAACTGCAAAGGAATCTGAAAAAGAGAAAATAAATGACATATTTTATACATTTACTCTTTCACACACTGTGTGCACATGCGTGTAAAGATTCACAAGTACAAACTGATGATGTTTTCAGTTTCCTTTATGAGATTAACTCATACAGACGTTGTGGAAGTTGTAAAATGTCCTTTTTACAGCCAGTTGTTGGCAGTATAATGGTAAAAATAATTTTATACCTAGAGGGTTAGACAATGGATGTCCAGATATCTTACAAATCTAAATAAAATAAACTGCTGTAAGCTCTAGAGTTATTGAATGTACAGTAGGTGCACACACAGAAGTACCAGCATACTCTGATAAACACACTGGTTTAAAGTGACATAGACTATTGACACCAGCAGAGGATCTGGGGTGTAGGCTCTGGTTTATAAAGTTTGTTTTATTTGCTAAATGACAAATCAAATTATATTTTGATTAAAGTACAGGTCTGTCGCATCTTACGCGCATTTAACATGCGCGATTTCAGCTTTACGCGGTCGGTTTAAAAAAAAAAAAAACCTATTTTAATACTGTACCTGTAGTGCGGGTGATTCCGCCCGCCATTCAACTCAATGTAATTTTGACTATACGCGGTTTTCGCTTTATGCACTGACCGCGGAACGTAACCCCAGCGTAAGATGAGACAGACCTATAATGTGATTCAGGACTGCTGCCACTTCTATTATACACATGTGCCTGTTAGTTTTTTCCCATGACTGCACTATAACACACCACTGGCCCTCTATAGAACAGTCTGTCAGTTTACAAGAGAGTTTACAGGTGTAGTCCATAAGTTGCCATATATACAAACCTGGGTCTCAGGACTGGTTTCAAATCTGAACTTCTGCAAGATCCGGAGCAGGGTCATCTTGATCTCCAGCAAAGCCATCCTCATGCCAATGCAGCTGCGAGGTCCTGCCCCAAATGGGAGGTATGCAAAGGGATGCTGCTGCAGTTTGGCCTCCGCTGTGAACCTGCAAGGTGGGTAAATTGGAAACTAGCTCAAGAAACGGTTTTCATACTGATGTGCTTTTCTACTCCCATCTTGAGAAAGCTGGATTTAAATTGGTCTCGGTAAACAATTCTCAAGGGGACTGTTAGCAAATTCTTCTCTAAACTAAAATGTCCTTTGTCAATGAGTAGTCCTCCCAGCAGGACAAACAGACTTTCTTTCTCATTTTTAAAAGTCTGTCTTTAATGAACTGCCCTCACTAAACACTCATTATCTGAGGAAACGACAGAACACTAATTCAGGGGTTATAGCAACCCAGACCCTATGCATAAACTAATGGCGAAATTACTGCCTGCATATGCCAAGAGCAAACTAATGAACCCTGATCTAGAATGAGCAAGAATGCTGCCTCTGCATTGCAAAAGCAATGTAAATTGACAGAGCCTGCCTGGGATTCTCTTCAGGACGGACAATGAGAAAAACAGGAATATGAAAGCAGGGATCTGATTGGCTGAGGAAGAAGGCTCTTATTGCACAGATGTATCCCATTGTTTTATGTGTGCTCCATCCATAGAGGAAGTAGGGGATTTAGGTTTTTAGCTCAAACTGAAGGCAGGCATGCTCTTAATTCTGGAGGTGCCCAGTTCAATCGCTAGTGAGGACTAAGGTGGCAGTCATCCAGAAGAGGACCGGGTAGCTAATTCTTTTAAAATACCTAATAAAAACATTGGAAATACATATTAGAAAAAAGGCACAATTTTTTAACTGCGAGGAGGAGTGACCTTTGGAACAAACTACCAAGGGATGTGGTGGACACTCTATCCCTTGTAGTCTAGCCTTCCAGAAAAGCAGCCAGTCTGGCTTTGGAGGTTTAGCCAGACAAGGGATTGGGCTCAGTGCACTCACCAATCCAGCTGAAATCTAGGGTCTTTTGCCCTTAAAATCTATGCACATTCTAGAAAAGCAACAACATTTCAAGGGGTGCTATTGTACTAGATATCTGCTCTTACTGGGCCAGGCCAGCAAGAACTGCCCTAATGCCAGCTACATATCTGTAAGGGCACTTGCACTGGTGCAAGGTGGTGGTGGTGGTGGTGGTGGTGGGGGCAACAAGCCTCCCCTCCACGTGCATACCCTGTGCAAGGAACCTGCCACAGTTGCAGCCCCTGCACTTGGGTCTGGAAAGGTCCAGAGAAAGGCAATGAACACAGTAGGACTTAAATATGCTGAGAGCTTTTGAAGGCTATTTCAAGACTGAGATTTCCTGGAAAGGAAAATCATCATGTGCTGTTTGTATTAATGGTAGCACCTAAAGGCCTCAAAAGGAGAGTGGGGCCCTATTGTCTTAAGCACTGTACAAACACATAGTAAGAGACACCTCCTGCCTCAGGACAGAAAGGATTTGATCGAGATATTCAGAATTAAGCCATGTGTAGTGAAAACTGGCCAGTCTCCCCATTTTTAGTATGTCCCATAATACAAGACTAAGGGCAATAAATTTAGAGCTAATAAATTCTTCTTCATGCAACATAATCAGTCTGAGGATGGTTCACGAGCAGAAGGTCAGAGAGAAAAATACCGGAGTTGGATTATTATTTTTTTGGAGAGCGAGTGAGAGGCCTAATTTTATGACCACTACCAATACTGGCAACCTATGCAAACTAAGGTGAGTCTATGGGTAATTGTACCTCCTGCTTCAGGAAGAGGTGAAGAAAGAAATTTGCCTCAGCTTCACCATGCACAGCACTGCACATCTGGTCGAGTGCATTATAGTTCCCATCCCCCAAACACTTTCCTTTAAAGCACTCCTTACTGAACACTTCCAGAAGCTGGGGTAGATTATATGGTCCAATGGTCAATGGAAGACCCAGACATGACATCTGCCACTAGAAAGATCATTGCCGCACTTCTCATCTGTCCCCAAGAATACAACACAAATTCTCCTTTCTCCTGAAAGAAGGTTTAATAGGCAGCAGCTTTAAAACAAACAAACACAGTCAACCTGTGGAACTCTTCGCCAGAGGATGTTGTGAAGGCCAAGACTACAACAGGGTTCAAAAAAGAACTAGATAAATTCATGGAGGATAGGTCCATCAATGGCTATTAGCCAACATGGGCATGGATCTGTCCTTAGTCTCTGTTTGCCAGAAGCTGGGAATGGGGGACAGGGGATGGATCACTTGATGATTACCTGTTCTGTTCATTCCCTCTGGGGCACCTGGCATTGGCCACTGTCGGAAGACAGGATACTGGGCTAGATAGACTTTTGGTCTAACCCAGTGTGACCATTCTTATGTTCTGACCCCAGTGCTGCCCCTCTTTATGGGCTAAGACAACTAGTATACAAGATGGACTGTTCCAAGAGGATTCCGCTATACAAACTCACTTATATGTACAGTTACATTAGTCCTTCAGAGCTAGTCTTAGAATGTCTGCATCACACCCAGTGTGTTTGAGAAGCTAGCACTTTGTATTCGAACTTTCACAAGATGGCAACTTGAGATGTGGGTCTTATCAGCTGTGTCCACTAAGCAAAACTGTGCTTCTACATAGTATTTGATCTGCAATAATTCCAAGTGCACTTTTTGTCTGCTAACCTCTGCAGCTGCAGGATAGTCTCTTCTCCATGCAGTTGTTATACAAGCAGAACACAGTTAAGACCCAGTTTGAAAGTGAGAAAAGCTTTACATGAAAGTCTGTCCTGCAAGCAGGATGGAGAACTTGGAATCCTACCCTGCTCCCCTTAAGACAAAACTCCCATTGGCTTCAGGTACAGGATTAAGTACCTAGCCGCACACCCAGACTGTTCCAAGATCTCAGACAGAAGGCTGCTCTGAAACAGCCCTGGGCTGGAGGAGAATTCTGGGTAATTACATGCAAATGAATACAATGGGTAGCCTATTTTTCTTCAGAATTTCTATATCTAGGAGTGGCCAAAGGAGCAGCATTTGAACAGGAACAGGTTATACCCATGCCAGGTAGGCAACCACAGACATGGCATTGCTTCTTAAGTCTCATCTACCAGTAGCCAGCTACTTTGGTGGAGGTGATGCTGGATATAGTGTCTATCCACTCCACGTTAACAGCTGATTGCTGGGGCTGTGTTGGGTTCAGGAATTATGCAGCAAAGGGGGTTGCTTAGTGTGTTCACTTGAATATCCATACACTGAATGCACTTCCAGTGCATGGCATCAGCATCCTGGGAGCAAAGTGCTTACACACATAGGGCTCTTTTTTATTAGCCACACAGGAAACAGCATGTAAGGCAGGACTTCGTTCTAAATGGTCTAAATAAGGACAATGGTACAAGAGATGATGAGCATTATCCCACATACCTCTCAGGGATGAATTTCTCAGGTTCTGGCCAGAACTCAGGGTTATAATGTAGAGGTCCAACTGCAATTTCTATTACAGCGCCAGCTGGAATATGCTGTCCCATCACTACGCAGTCCTTCGATGTCTCCCGAGTAAACCTGCAACAGTTAAATGTCACCGACCCCAAATGAGTAAGAATAAAAATACAAAGGCAGGGTGTTGAAAGCAGCCATAGAATAAGTCATCTCTGTTGGTCTTACAATGATAAGGGAAGCAAGATGGTGGTTGTGACGTTGCACGCTATATGATTTTATGAAAATATGCTAGTGAGTGTGAATATAATGTAACTGGAATGTGCTTCATGCAAAAGGTTTCTTGTAAAGTATCATTACAAAGCTTATAATCTACTGAGTGTGGTCAGCCTATTTGTATAAATATACCACTCTTATATCTGAAACTAGGAATACGAAATATAACTCTGAGGGCCTATTATAATTATGCAAAATGTGGGCCATTAATGATAGTTTGGAATCTTGATGGCTCCCAATAACCAGGACCATTGTCTGTAGATGGCTCTGTTTTACTGGTAAGTCTTCCTGTATACGTGTGTGCTGGCAAGTGGGTAATGAAGTCTTATAGTGACATGTTATCATGTCACCTGAACTGGAATCCATCTTTAACCTGGTGCTTTTTCATTTAGTAGGAGGGGTGGGAACCCAGAGAGGGACAAAGGATTTCCGCCTTATGCAAAAAATATATAAGTGGGTGGAACAGAACAAAGGGGCTGCAATCATGAGAAATCCCCTAGCTACCACCTGAGCTGGAACAAGGGCTGTACCGGGGAAAGGATTCTGCCCAGACTAGGAAGGCGTCCAGTCTGTGATAGAAGCTTATTGAAACATCTGGGGGTGAGGTTTTATCTGTATTCAGTTGTCTTATCGTATTAGGCATAGACTTACATGTTTTATTCTATTGTGCTTGGTAATTCACTTTGTTCTGTTTGTTACTACTTGGAACCACTTAAATCCTACTTTTTGTATTTAATAAAATCACTTTTTACTTATTAATTAACCCAGAGTATGTATTAATATCTGGGGGGAGGGGACAGGAAACAGCTGTGCATATCTATCAGTGTTATAGAGGATGAACAATTTATGCGTTTATTTGGGGTTTGGACCCCATTGGGAGTTGGGCATCTGAGTGTTAAAGACAGGAACACTTCTTAAGCTGCTTTCAGTTAAGCTTGCAGACTGTGGGATGTGGTTCAGACCTGGGTCTGTGTTTGTGGCTGGCCAGCGTGTCTGGCACAACCAGGCAGGGTTCTGGAGTCCCAAGCTGGCAGTAGTAGTCTTGTCACATCAGTTGGCAGCCGCAAGGGGGTTTCTGTGATCCAACCCGTCACAGTGGTCACTGGTAGATAAGCAGAGCAGCAGTTGCTTGCTACACAAAGGGTGTTTACAATCATCTTCACCAGAAAAATAGAGAGCATGGACTTTTCGGGGAACTGCAAATGAAATATGGATCCTTGCAGCGCTAGACTTCATCCACCCCAAATTGGTAACTGTTGCTGCTATAGGTGGGTCTGGTAGCACTATTATTAAGGTTACCTGACATTTCCCATTATTAGACCCTGTTTTCACTTGCTTATAACTTTGTCAAACTTTCCATTTGGACTCTAATTTCCCATGCCAGGCATCTGCCTCAAGCTGAAATTTTTGAAAATGTCAGCCAAAATAGTTCCGTTGTTTCTGAGAACGAGGCTAAGGGGAAAATATATTGTTTTGCCCACGTTAAAAAATTCTGGTGACGTTTTCTTTGGGAAGTGCTAGCATCCCCATATTCTGGAGCAGGGACTGAAATTTGGGAGAGGTTGCCCTTTGTATCAGGGCTGTATTGCTGCTGTCTTTGTGAAAATGGGCCAAGTTATAAGCCTTTGAAAAACTGCAGTTTGCATAGGCTCTGTCGAGACTTGCTAGAGTTTAATAGCTAAAAATCTCCAAAGATTCTGTCTGCACTGTGCATGCTACCGCCCAGGCCTGAGCAGGACTTTTTCTGCAATTGTAGCTGAGCTGCTGCAGGCTGGCTCCAGACACAAACTGAGAACAGGGAGCATGTCTCTCCGGTGCTCTCAATGCCCCCCTGTTGCGCTCAGGCAATGAGTGGGAGGAAGCATCCTGATTTGAAAGCAGAGGGGATAAAAACTAGACCAGGGGAGGGGATGCAGAGGTGAGGGGAGCAGAGTGAGACAAGGAACCTGGCGGGGTGGGGGTGCCTGGTACTGGAGGTTGGTGGACACAAAAGTGGGAGATGGAAACTTGAACTAGGGGTAGAGAGATTGGGAACTGGCTGGGCAAGGAATTGGGATGAAAAAGTCAGGAATGGGGAAGAGAGAGGACTGAGGAGGGAACAAGGCAGAAGGGATCAAGATTGGGGGGAAATGGACAGAAGAGTCTGTGCCCACAAGAACACACTGCCCTCCAGAGCCTGGGACGGAGCCAAACATTCCATTCTGAGCCTCACCATTCCTCTGTTGTCAGCAAATATCTATGAAACCCACCAGCAAAATGTCTCACCTCCCTCTAGTGCTGGTCCACAGACAGAATGGCAACCTACTACTGCTATCAACCAGTTACTCAGTTCAGGAGGCAGAGGTCTGAGCAGTGGATAGGGTTGCCAACCCTCCCGGTTTCGCCGGGAGTCTTCCGGAATCAGGCCTTATCTCCCAGGGGCTACTGAAGCCAAACTGGGAGATTTTAGGTACTAAAAGTCCAGTGGCGCAGTGGGGCTAAGGCAGGCTCCCTGCCTGCCCTGGCCCCATGCTGCTCCCAGTGGGGACAGGGGTATCTCTGTGTGCCCCAAGTGCTAACTCTGCAGCTCCCAGGGGCCGAAGGGACATGCTGGCTGCTTCTGGGAGCAGCGCGGGGCCAGGGCAGGAAGGGAGCTGCGCCACCACCCAGGAGCCCTCCCAGGTAAGCGCCTCTCAGCGGAAGCCTGCACTCCACACCCTCTCCTGCACCCCAACCCCCTGCCTCAGGCTGATCCTGGAGCCCCCTCCCACACTCTGACCCCTTGGCCCCATCCCAGAGCCCGCAACCCCTACCACACCCCAACCCTCTGCCCCAGCCTGGTGAAAGTGAGTGAGGGTGGGGGAGGGCGAGCGATGGAGGGAGGGGAGATAGAGTGAGTGGGGCGGGACCTCAGAGAAGGGGCGGGGCAGGAGGCGTGGTAAAGGTATTTGGGTTTGTGTGATTAGACAGCTGGCAACCCTAGCAGTGGATCCAAAGGTTCCAGCAATGATGATGGTCCATGTGGGTATCAGTATGATGCTACATGATGGAATTTCTGGGTGTTTTTTTTTTCAGTTTGCTTTTTTATAAACATAGGAAATTACTCGTAGAAAAAATTAATGCTGCAAAATCAAAAGTCAGGAAATCCAGTATTAAGGTGCCTGTGCAACCTTAATTCTGCCTCCTTATGCATATGAATTATGATACAACAGGGGTCCCCAACGCAGTGCCCGCGGGCGCCATGATTTTCAGCAGCATTTCGGCGGCGACGCTTGTTGGTGTTGCTGCTTCTTGGCAGCATTTCGGCAGCTGTTTGTCCGGTGGCCACGCTCCTCGGCGGCTAGTCGTCAGGCACCCGCCACATTGAAAAGGTTGGGGACCACTGTGATACAACCTATAGGGGCTGGGACTAGGGGTGTGGAGGGTGCTTCAGCACCCCCTGACTTGAAGAGGTTTCCATCATATCCAGGGTTTACAGTTTGGTTCAATGGCTCTCAGCACCCCCACTATACACATTGTTCCAGTGCTGGAAATCACAGAAACTGCTACCAGAATTGTTAGAGAGAAAGGATGGTCTTTTAGTTAAAGCGCTAGCCTAGCACTCGAGATCGGGGTTTAATTTCTGGTTTTGTAACACATTTCTTGTGTCACCTTGCACAAGCCACGTAGGTGCTTTTGCAAATTTTTACCCTAAGTGACTCAGATGTCTAAGTCCAATTGAATTTCAAGCAATAAAAGATGAAGGGTAAAAAATTCAAAAGCACCTAGGTGCCTAAATCATGTGTGAAAATGAGACTTAGGGGCTTTTGAAAATTTTATCCTTCATCTTTCAGTGCCTCAATTTCCCAAGTGTAAAATGGGGATAATACGTCTTTTCTCTCATCCTTCATCTGTTTTGTCCAGTTAGTGTGCAGGCTTTTCAAATTAAAGACTCTTTCTTACTATATGTGTGAATGGTGCCAAGCAAAACAGGGCCCTGATCTTGACTGGGGGCCTGTAGGTGGTACAGTAATACAAATAATAATATATGAACAGTCTCAGCAGAAACCAAAGACTGCATGGACTCTGGAGGCCAAACTGTTATCTCATCCATAAAAAGTGTTTTCTCCAGATCAGTAGTGACCTCATGACTGGCGTAGTATCTATGATTACTGGTGCCTGCCCTATAGCTATTTAGTGAATAAATGGAAGATTCCAGTCTCTAGGACTGGCACTTTGGCACTATTCACAGCATTATGTTCTCTCTCACACAAAATTAAATAAAATAGATAACTAAGAACCAAAGCCTTGAAAAAAATATTGTCAAGTCCTCCCTTTTGCTGAAAAGTGAATAGGATGTTGGTGAAAGGTACTGGACCACCAGCTCTGCAGAATGAAGTTCTCTATTTATTCAGATTGTTTTTAAATTTCTCTCACTCGTGGTAGTAAAATTATTTTATTTGCTATTGAATTTTCACTATTTCTTTGTATTCTGGAATACAGCACTATTCTTGTCTTATGTAACTGGCATCTTTGCAATGCACTGGGCCTTAGATAGAGATCGGGAACAACCACAAATGACACCAATGGGAGCTTCAGAATAACTTCCTTCTCTTCTAATTCTGTTTCCCATCTGACAAACTTTGATTGTTTCCCAGTGTTTCAGAGTTGAAATTCAAATGTCCCTGATGGTTAACAGGCACAGGAACTTCTATTTATATACCACGGATTTCAAAGTAAAATGTTGTCGTTTATGAGCAAGCATAATTAACTCTTACAACCATGTGCACCTCCACAGAAAATCTTGGAAGATCCTACCCCTGTCTTGGGGGTAAGTAAAAGAGGGGTTAATATTCAGATATTCTATTTTAAGGTACTTGTTACCGTAGAGTAGGATTTCCAAAGTGCTCAGCATTGGCCTAACTCAACTCCCACTGAAATAAAGGGGAGCTTTACCATTGACTTCAATAGAAGCAGAGCTAGGTGAATGCTAGTTTGCTTCTGAAAATCCCACCCTGAGAGCTGAGACTTGTGTTCTGTTACAGTTTTGTGATTTTACACAGTTTGCTAATTTCTTTATTCCCCTCCACCTTTTTGAAATGAACATATCTAAGCTCCCTGGGAAAATATTTTAGTATCAGTTAAGGAAAATTTCTAATACCCACTGAATGGGGGCACTAGAGTTAGCTGTAACGGTATAATAAAGTATTAGGGCAGAATGTTAGCACATAGTACAATTCATGTTTTTGAATACAGCAAGGGACATGCACAATCTTCAGAAGATCAGGGGTTTAATGGGGTGACTGGCCTACTCAGCCAGTAGGCTATGCAAATTCTGTACTCAGATCTCTGAAGCGGACCAAAGAAGAACCATCTAACTTCCTAAGGCTAGTCTGCTTCAAAGATACTGCTTCCCCTGGGCTTGGGGGACCCGAAGAACAGTGAAAAGAGACTCCAGCTGGCTTTGAAAAGGGTGCATTAAGTAGACCAACTTTAGCCAGTATTCTTCATTCATTTGGCCCCATTGTATCTCTCAAGTGCCCGAGCAGTACTGATAGCTTAGCTACGTGGAGGCCAAGAGCATGGGGCTTCCAAACAGATTTCCACTGTATTTATCTAATGATGTACTCTCTAGGAGCTAGAGGGGAAAGATATACCTGAATGCAGGTGGGTACATGCGCAGTGTCTCTGCAATCACCATATCCAGGTAAGGGAGCTCTTGGACATTTTGGTAGTCAGGGACATCCTGGGAAAAAGGAAGAAAGAGATAATTAAGCTCTGGAAACTGCTGGAGCTGCAGGCTGTGGGGGTTGGCTCACAGTGTGCCCAGTTGGATTTTTACTACAAAATTCCTCACAGTGGCAACAACTTGTGCTATTCCAATGGACCCTAGTAGTGGAATGGGGGAGGGGGAGAATTCTGTTTTCTCCCATGGTGATCTCTTGTGCAAACCCAGTTTATTTGTTCTTTGTGTAGCAGACCTTGATTTGGGCCTAATTTACATAACCCTGAAAGTATACATTCAGTTGATAGAAAGCATCATATAAACAAACACGACTCTGGCCCCGATGAATTTACATTTTACAAAGGAGCCAACAGGGACAATAATAGAATAAACAAATAAAGCTCCAGCCCTACAACAGAGAGAGAGGGAACATTTCTCTCACCATTTCTTGTCTTGGAAAACTCACGGAGATCGTACGTGTTACTATTCAGTTCTGTCAGCAGAGGGCAGAGAAAGTACATCTAAAAAGATCCCCAGTAAAGCTGAGTACTGTACAGTTTAAATTAAGGGATCTCTTCTAAAATCTGACATGGAGTGCATTGGCAAGAGGCACTTACGCCAAGCTAGACTAAAACTGTGAAGATTTGGGGCCTCTGAGGTTAACAACAGGGACTGGATTCTGTCCGTTCTTCATTTACTACATCAGCTTTCATATATAATGCATATTTTATTGAATTTTCATGTGAAAAATGTATGTTATACTCTAAAAATACTAAGCAGAGAACAATTCCAGATGGTATGCAGACAATATGTACAATAAAATGAGAATGCCTGGCCAGGTTAGAACATCCCCTTTATTCAGAGCTAAGACAGCATTGTGCCACTTCAGATTTTCCAAGGGCTGTACAAACTCTGACGGATCCTTCTATGAGGGAGATAAGTTCTATTACACTCATTTTTCAGAACGGAAATAGAGGCAGAGAGGCTATGTCAGTTATTCAAATCCACACTGGGCTCAAATAGGGCTACCACTCTTCTCTTATGTTAAAGGCTGTCTCATCTCTAGTCAATACAATATGCATTTTGTCCCTTACTTCAGCAACAATCATTTATTGTTGTTATTTCTATTACTATAGTGCCAACAGCCTCAAAACAAGACTGGGGCCCCATTGTGCTAGGTGCTGTGCAAACAGACAGTAAGTACTGACAGTTTAAATAGACAAGACAAACAAAGGATGGGCAGGAAGGAATATTATTAGCTCCATTTTGCAGACAAATAATTGAGGCCTAGAGAGATTAAGTGACTTGCCCAAGATCACACGGGAAGTCTGTGCAGAGCCTGGAAATGAACTCAGATCTCCTGAGTCCAAATTCAGTGCCTTGACCACAAGATCATCCTGCCTCTCTGTGATTATGCAAAGAAGTCTACACTTTGATGCACATATATTTAAGGCCCTTTGTTTTGTGTTTACCAATTTTTAATGAAAAATTCCCAGGTTTTACAAAAGCTAATATTTGTTTTTTACTGATTATCTCCCAAATTTTGGATGCTATTTCAAATAGCCTCAGTTCCTTTAGGGAATTAGCAGTTTAGAAAACAAAATAAAGCAGCACAAACAGACGATTTTCCAAGGAAGAAAATTGGTTTTGTTTACATAAGAAAAAAGAGCCCGGGCAATAGCAGTAGAGTGTGAGCTCAACTTTCACTTGCACCTCAGTGAATTCATATGTCAGATGCTACAGAATTGTCGGCATTTCCTTGCTTCTAACTTCAAAGTAGCTGAACTTACTTCAGCAGCTGTGCGCACGGTCTGATCTTGGACTGTGTGTCGTCCCCAAAGCCAAACATCCCTATTTAGGAGGGACATTCCTGATATATTTTTAACAAAATATTTTCCATTTGTTTTTCGACTCCCTCTCTCAAAAAAACTTTTAGCCCACTGCATTTCAAAGGCATTGAAATATGCTTTTCTCTCCAAATATCCTTAATTGCCGCTTTCAAATATTGGCAGGTATGTCTGAGAGGGTAATAGGTTGTCATGCTAAGATGCCACTTGAAGCCCCTGTGTAGCACATCTGTACATTGAATGTTACTCAGGGCTGCGTATGTTTTAGTCCAGAAATAGCTTCCTTTTTGGAGAATGCAGGAAAAAAGGAGGCACCACATTGCATGTAATAAAACACCAGACATTTTAATGTTGTGACCATTGTCTTACACAAAGATTTACGTCAATAGTTTTCACAGTGTTTTTATATCTTTTCCTTACTAACTTAGAAATGAGTGTAATCCAGTGAGGTATTTTTGGATATGTTTCACTGGCTTATTTTTCAGGTTTATGGGCAACACATTCCTCCATCATCTCTCCCTTGGGCTTTTCAACCCTTTTTCTGTGACCAGAAAGTGCCTAACTTGCCAGACACTGAAGAAGTAAGCAAGATGGTCTTCTGGATAGGGTAGCAACTTCAGGCTTGGTCACAAGCTTCCTGTATGACCTCAGGACCTCAGGCAAGTCATTTCATCTACCCTGTGCTTCAGTTCCCCATCAGTAAAATGGGGATGGTTCTTCCCTACCTTACAGAGCTGTTGTGAGGATAAAGTTAATGAAAGATTGCAAAGGGAATCAGACAATACAGTGCTGAGGGCCATGTAAATAGAGAACGCATTTTGGGCACTAATGCAATCTAAGCTCCGGCTGCTGAAAGCTGTTCCCCTCACGCAGACTTCTGCATGGAGCTCCACTCTCTGCACCTTCAGTGGAGCTCCACGTGGGCACAGGAGTCTGCATGTGCAGATCAGCTTGTGGATTGAGGGTCTTTAACAGACATGCACTTATCCCCATACCCTCAGTCTGACTTTAGATTGGAAGATCCTCAGGGTAGGGCCTGAACCTTATTTTTTTTGGAAAGCATATTGAGTGCTACTAGAAGAAAGTAAATTCCTAAATAAATCTCTTCCTAATGGCAATCCAAACATGCAGTAAGCATAGCGGTAGGACTACTAAATATTAGTGAAAACAAATAGACTCCTTACACATAGATCAGCTGTTCTAGTCTGTGGAAAAGTGGATACAGCGAGAAAAATTGGAAAAAAACAAAATGAAAGGGAATTTAGCACTGGTTTAAGAAACTGGATTAACAGCAGTGGAAACTCAAGTCTTCTCTTTGTCTACACAAGCACAGCAGATGCCATACAAATTTCTCACGCTGCCCTACCAATGTGTCTCCATCATGACTTGGAAGGACCTCTCTAGCAGTGAGAGGGTAATTCAGTCACCAGGATTCATTCAGTATTTGTCCTCTCTGTTGAGAAGACAAATAAGGGGCCAGTTAGTGCCTACTGTGTTTTTATGAGCTATATCCATTGGGAACTGTTGGCTAGATCCGTAGCTCGTGTAAATCACTGTAGCTCCATGACTTACTACATGTGCATACTCTCTGATACTTGAAAATATACAGAGTGAATTGCATCAGGAATTGAATTGGAAGCCAGTGAAGACTCCAGAGGCCACAGATAATATATTCCTTATAACTAACACTGCTGAGTAACTTGACAGTCTCCTTCTGCTGCAGCTTTGGAGGAGCCCAGAAGGGTAGTCCCAACAATCCAAATTTGAGATCACAGGAGCATGCATGACTGTGATGAGGTTCACATCAGAGAGATCAGGTCACGTGTCTAATAAAATGGTGGTTCTGTCCACCAGCACTAACTGTGAATCCAGCAGTAAATGGCTAGGGAAGTGCTACCAAACAGCAAATCTACCTGACAAAGGGTGGACACACTTCACAGTAATGGGAGCAAATGCTGCCCTTGCATGGGCTGTGCATGTTTCTCCTGCCACGCAGCAACCCCTCCATCTTGTCTGGAATGAATTTGAGCCATCTTATGTTCACCCAAACTCCTCTCTTGGTCAGGCCCTGGGACAGCCAGGAAACTGCACCATCTGGGTCAGACCAAATCACTTTACCATCCCCTCAATAAATGCTGGACAGGAGGGGGACAGAAATTCGGGTACGTAAACAATAAGCCAGTGTCAACCTCGAGCACCTCTCAGAAAGGAGAGAGCAAAATTGCTGCAGAGCAACCCTATCCACCTCAGCCAAGGTCCACAAATAAATGAACAACATTTCTTGATCATATGGCTCAAAGGCTGTTAATAGATCAAAGAATCAGCTTGGGCACTTGACCTTTGCTCACTGCTAGGAGCAGATAATCTCTCAACACTACCAGAATTGCCTGTGTGCCATACCCAGACTGACAGGGGCCAAAGAAACCTGAGAACACCAGATAATGTTAGAGCTGCCCCTCTACAACCTTTTTAATAACCTTATCAAGACAGGCATGGCTAGAGAAGAGCCATGGCACTTAGTGTGCATATCAATGAATGAAGATAGCCTAAGCCTAACAACTGCTTGCTTGATGGAAGCAGCTCGCCCCTCCTTAGATTTTACTAGTCACACTGAAGTACTTGAATGTCTGTTAAGTTCTACACCAAAGCACTCCTACAACATTCAGTGTCTCAGGGGGTGAAACGGGGGGTGACTTGACCAGGGAAGACTGCAAACTCAGATCTGCCACCTTGGAGTTGGCTTGTACAGAAAGAATTCAATCAATAGTGTTTGCTACAGGCAACAGAAACTTCCTCAAAATCAAACCTCTCTTGCTATGTTTCCCAGTGGATACGGTCGGGATTCAACATGCTGTCACCCATCTGGAAAAACTCAGCAGCTCTACATGGATACTACTGTGGGAGGAGAAAAAACAAATTATTTGCCTTCATTACAACTACAGCATAGGGTTAAAAAACTCTATGCAGTAGCCAAAGTGATTCAGAGTGTAATGACTGCCACAAGTATTCTTAGGTTTCAGAGTAGCAGCCGTGTTAGTCTGTATCCGCAAAAAGAAGAACAGGAGTACTTGTGGCAACTTAGAGACTAACAAATTATTAGAGCATAAGCTTTCGTGGACTACAGCCC